CTGAAGCGCTGGGCCGCAGCCCCGGGCCGGCCGCTCACAGCCCCTCGCCCCACCCGCCCCCGGGGCACCGGGCGGGGACCCCGGCGAGGCTCCGTGCAGGGGGGGCTCCCCCGGGGCCGGGGCAGGTGCCGCCCCCCCGGCAGGTGCCCGCCCGCCCGCCGAGGCCGCGGCGCTCACCCGGCCTCTCGCATGACGTTGCTGTCGCCGCAGTCGCAGGCGCCCCCCGCCTGGCTCCGGAACATGTTGTAATCGTGCCCGGCGTGATCGCCCTGGTGGAAGCACTCGGCGCACAGGCTCATGCAGGGCGAGATGCCGCAGGTCCGGCAGCGGTAGGCCACGAAGTTGGCCGTCCACACCAGGCCGCACAGCGTGGCCGGGTCGTAGAGCCGCACGGCTTGCACGAAGCTGTCCCAGGGCTTGCCGCCCGACAGCAGGCAGCGGCACCACTCCAGCGCCTCGCCCGCCGCCTCGCCGCCGCCCGGGCCCGCCGCCGGGGCCAGCACCCGTTCCAGCAGCTCCCGCAGCTTGCCCGCCGCCTTCGCCGCCCTCGCCGCGCCGCCTTCGCCGCTCAGATCCTCCTTCAGCTGCCTCGCCTCGCTCTGCTTGTCCGGGCCGCTGGCGCCGGCCCCCGCCATGACGGGGCACCGCGGGGCCGTTACGGCTGCGCCGGGCTCCCGGCTCCGGGGCTCCCCCTTCGCGTCCCTCCCCTCGCTCCCCTCCCAGCGGCGCCTCCCTCTCGCGATAGCCGCGGAACCGGCGCCCTCCCGGCGCTGCCTCTCCCCTCCCCTGACACTGAGCCCTCCCCTTCCCTCTGCCCGCCCCGCCGCACTGGCAGCGCGCAGGTGCGCGGGCACCGCCGCCGCCCCGCAACGCGTCCCCCCCGCAGCGTGTGGCCGTCACCCCGCAACGTGTCGCCGGCCGCCCCGCCCCGCCCCGCACGGGACGCGAGTTCAGAGCCACGGAATGTCCCGAGTCGGGAGGGACCCACAAGGATCGTGGAGTCCCAGCCCCTGGCACCACGCAGCTCTGCCCAGCGATTCAGACCGTATGGCTGAGGGCAGCCCAAACGCTTCTAAAACTCTGACAGGCTCGGTGCTGTGACCACAGCCCTGGGGAGCCTGCTCCAGTGCGTGACCACCCTCTCGGTGAAGAACCTCTTCCTGACAGCCAGCCTGAACCTCCCCTGTCACAGCCTGACACCATTCCCTCAGGTCCTGTCACTGGACACTACAGAGAACAGATCGGCGCCTCCCCCTCGTGAGGCAGCTGCAGGTGTCCCCTCAGCCTCCTCTTCCCCAGGCTGAACAGCCCAAGTGCCCTCAGCCGCTCCTCGTACATCTTCCCCTCTAAGCCCTTCACTGTCTTTGCAGCCCCCCTCTGGGCACTCCCCAACAGCCTCATGTCCTGTTTGTGCTGTGGTGCCCAGACCCGCACACGGTGCTCGAGGTGAGGGTACAGAGCACCCAGTGCCTGCCCGGCGCCGCGTGCCCCCCACCCAGCCGCACGCAGCGCCGGGCAGCCCGCGCTAACCCCTGGCAACACAGCGCCGCCACAGCCGGGCGCACTGGGCCAGGCACCGCCTGCCCGGGGCGGGGCGGCGGCTCGGGGCCTGCGCCTGGCGCCGGGGCGGGACGGGGCGGGGCGGTGCTGGCCCCGCGGCGGCTCACGGCGCCCGGAGGGTCTCGGCTGGGGCTGCGGTGAGCGGCTGGAGGGGCTGGGGGGTGCTCGGGTCGGCCCCGCGCTGCCGCAGCCCCGCCGCTAAGCGCTGCGAGCCGCTCGTTGCCGCCCGGGCTGCGGCGGGAGCAGCGTGAGGGAGGCGCGGGGCTGGCGGCGGGGCCGCGGCGTCCTGGCGGCAGCGGGCCCCGGGCCGGGCTGCCTGAGGGCACCTGGGAGCTGCCATAGGGTGCAGGGGGGGGAAAGCAGAGAACGACCCCGTGAGGGCATTCGGCGTTTGTTGTATCTGTTTGTTGTATCGCAGCTGCTGACACGTTATTTGCATTAGAGTCGTGGCAGAGTCGGAAGGGACGCGTGGGGATCATCGAGTCCAGCTACAGACATGAAGAAATTAAAGCTTAAAGAGCTGGAGAGCTGTCTTCAACGGGTCGATACCTTCGAAAGCCCCAAGCTGCTCCTTGAACAGTACCCAACGAGACCGCACATCGCAGGTAGAGATGGCACTGTTGTAGCTTGGCTCTTTTACTGGCTCTGCATACAAAGCTTAAGTGCTTTTTGTTTCTGCCGCGGTTTAAAGCCTTCACACTAGAAATAGTTGAGACATTGTATCCGCCAGAAACTTGAATCCATTTTTCTATGATGTTAACTTACTTTCATTAAAAGAATACTGTTAATTTACAATCCAGAATTAGAGAAAATTGATTTAAAAGATACATATTCAGTGATCTATGTGAAATCTCTCCAGCAGACCAAATATCTACAGTTCAACTACTTGACAAAATACTAGTTTTCACATTGAAATTAAAAGAGAATTACAGGCAGTGAGAACAAGCTTAATTTCGCATGACAATAAACCTTTGTTTCAGAGTTTTCTGAGAAGAGAAGATAGTTTGTATTGATTAACTGGATGCCCATTGGGTATATTACTGTGTTGGTTTTTTTTTCTCCCCTCAGCATGTATGCTTTACACAATTCACAATACTTTCGATGATATTGAAAACAAAACAATTGCAGATTTAGGATGTGGTTGTGGTATGCTCAGCATTGGAAGTGCAATGTTAGGAGCTGGGTAAGTAAATACTAGGTTCTGGATGTGGGTTTTTTTGTTGTTGTTGCGTTGTGTTTTTTTTTTTTTTTTCTTTCCTGGTATAAAACAGAGTTGAAATTAAGATTAGAACATAGTGCTGAACTAAACTAACTTTAGCCATCTATTCTGGTGCATAATCAGGCCATTTAGTATGTTTAGATTATTAATAACCGTTCAGCTTCTGGGAGGGGTGGATACTTGCCTCAAAACGATAACATTTGTTTTCTCCTGAAGCATTAAATGAACACATGAAACATCTAAAACTTTAAAAAGATATTTGAAAAAGGCAACAGAGCTGCTGACATTTTTATAAGTACTGAATTTGTAGTGAACACCTGTTATGTTTACTAGTTAAAACAAGCTTGTGCCATTCCTTTTCAAAACTGCTATAGAATTTAAACAGTTTTATTTTGCAAAATACTAATGTGGCTTTTTTTTTTTTTTAATAGATTTTGTGTGGGGTTTGACATTGATGCAGAAGCACTGGAAATATTTAACAGCAATCTTGAAGACTTCGAGCTCACAAATGTTGACTTCATTCAGTGTGATGTCTGTTCTTTGTCTGACAGCATGTCAGAGACTTTTGACACAGTTATCATGAACCCTCCTTTTGGTACCAAACATAATAAAGGTTTGTAGATACAAAAGTCATTTAGCAATTACTAGAAGAGAAGTATCAAGGGACACACTTCTAATGGAACATCTCTCCTCTCTATTGCAATAGGGGACCTAACAAAATTTTGCTGACCTGAAATCAGTTTCATAAGTAGAGATTAACCAATTCAATGCTATAGCTAAACAATCACTGGGTTTCAAATAAACGACACTAGCTATTTCACATCCCTTATTTTTTGGTTTTACTTAAGCACTTGGGAAAGTTGCAAAAACTTTTTTGCAAAAATACTTTCTGTACCTTCACATATTCAGTGTTTTTTCTCAAATAGCTACTGCTTCAGAAAAACTGAAGCGTGAAGCAAATCTTTAAATCCTCTAGTTTAAAATTGCATTTAGTAATTTAATAATTTCAACACTTTTAGGAATGGATATGATTTTTCTGAAAACGGCTTTACAAATGGCAAAAACAGCTGTATATTCCCTTCACAAAACTTCAACACGGCAGGTAAGTCCTTCATTTTAGTATGGTGAACATTAAGCTGACAATTATGCAGTTGGTCAGTAATCACATATTGTCTTTAGCTTCTTTGATTTGTTCATATGGTATATGCCTATTTGGGGTAAACATTATTGTCAAAGAATAGCTGTGACTTTGCATGCATCAAGATAAGTACATCTAATATTTTAAGTTGAAAACAAAGGTGCAGACTTCTTAAATTACTACAGCCATTAAGATGTTTTTAAGACTATCAAAACCAGCTTTTAAATGTAACTGTATCTGTTTAATACTGTAGCACATTCAAAAGAAAGCAGATGAATGGGAAGTGAAGATGGAAGTCATAGCAGGTAAGATTAACTCAGAGAAAAAACGTTTTTCTTGGGGGTCTAATATAGATGTAAGTCCTTACTAGTCAGACAATATCCAGAGAGAAATTTAAGTGTGATTTGCAGTGAAAATGACAGGGTTTGTTTATTTACGTAATCTTAGTACCTGTCTGGAACATAAGAAGTAGGCACTTGATGAATAAAGCTCAGAGGAAGAGTTTCTTCCCAGACTCAATTTAGCATCCTAAATATTTTTGGCAGTTACTCTGTTATCTTCCTGATTCTTAAGTACCGTCAGCTATATGCTTTATAGGAGTAATATAACTTGAGACATTTTGAGAAATTTGCACAAATGCTTAAGATGGTTTTCTGGATCTCAGCCATCCAGTTATTGTCTGGTATGGTTGGTTTAAATGTTCAGTCATAATCTAGTGCAGAGATCAAAACAGTTATCCCATCAAGGGCTCACAGAGATAGGCAACAGAACATGGATGGAGGGTGCAAGTTAACTGACTAATAATCATTATAGCATAACAATTTTTTGTACTATTCATAGAACTTCGATATGACCTACCAGCATCGTACAAATTCCATAAGAAGAAATCGGTAAGTATAAAACCTAAAACAACTAAGAAAATTCTGTTTTGTATCAGGGAGGTAAATAATTCCATTGAAAGAAATGTAAGTTTTAGGGTCATGTGTACTAGATGGTTAATAGCATTTGAAAGAAGTTTGTTATGACAGCAATAAGTTCCCTTTGTTGTTACCACACTTAGTGGTTGAACAGAGGGGTCAGTAATGAGCAGTTTTAAGTTCTGAATTTATTGGCAGCTGCTGTTTAATATAACTTCGAGGTTACAAAGTCAGGAAACTTTTACATTTGAATGAGGAGCCAGAGAAGTTGAGAGCATCTGACAGTATAAACAAAACTATAAATACAAAATAATTCTCCAGAGTGGCATCTTAAAAGTAAGCATGCTGCTTAGGACAACACCAACAAAAAAAAAGCTGTAACCCAACACCACGAAGCTCTCTTCTCATTGCAGGTTGACATTGAAGTGGATTTCATTAGATTTCTGCCAAGAAACTCCTGAACTGAAGCATGTCTTTAAAACTTATTTAAAATGGACTAATAAAAACAAAGTTATTTTTATTTTAGTATTACTGATCTCCAGCTCCATTTTCTGTTTTCAGTTGTTTTGGTGCAGGTTCTTCTTCTTCCATTTCCTCTAGTGGTCTCTTCTTAGGACTTGCCGGTTCTGCAAGATTGAATACATATAAGTCATTTACGGTAAAGGAAAGCCCTTTCAGTATTACCACAAATCTTCTGGGGAAAAAAAAGATCAACTAAAATACTCTTATAAGTGTTCTTAGTATACATGCCCCAGAATGGGTCCTAGTTAATCCATAGCCATTGCTATGATAGAAGGTTTACTTATTATGCGACTTTGAAGTTTTGAGGTGTTCCAAAATACTTTAAAGAACTTGTTCTTACCTGTTCTAAGGCAGGTAAGAAGATGAAGGAAAAAAAAAATCTAACAGGAGTAGGTTTGAATGGGTTTTGTTACAAGGAGGTTCTGTATCCAATGAACAGAAAGAGTAGCTCTTCCTCTTCTCTACCACTATCCAGAATTGGTCTTACTGTACAGAATGCTTTGAACAGTGCTGCAGTACAGCCACAGCCATCTAATAATTATCTCAACATACTTTTATTATGCATTTTGGACAGTTTCAGCCTCTGGAAGGAGTCATGCAGAGGACCCTTCAAGTTATTTTACTGGTAATAACATATTGACAGAGGACAGAAATACTACAATAGAGGGCCAAAGCTTGGCCCTAGTAAACAAAAACTTCTCCATAAAATAGCCCTGTGCAATAAAGAATCTATACCCTGTTAACATACCTGTTTTAGTATCATCTTCACCTTCTTCCTCAAACTTTATTTTCTTGCCCTGAAACTGTACTTTCCCTTTTTGTGCGCCTTGAGGTATCTTTCCCCCTCTTCCTTTTCCTTTGAGTTTGCGTCCTGTTGGAATATAAGATAACAGGAATTTTGTATCATTTGTGTTTTTAATTGGCAAGCTCAAAAGAATGCTTTATAAAAAGTAATTATTATGTATTCACTATCTTATTTTCACAAAATGCCACTCATGGGACATTGTAAATGCTTCAATGAAAGAAGGACCTTTTGTTTTCTGTTTCAGCAGTTCCTGCTGCTCTTCCATTATTTTTTTCAGAGCTTCTTTCTCTTCGTCTCCTTCTAGCAACTCCCAAGTAACATCCTTGTTCCGAAGCTGTAAGTTTCCATTATGTGCTTCTTTGGCTTTTTCCAGAGCTTCTTTTGCAGTATCCTTAAATAGGATAATTCCCTTAAAAAGAAAGAAGGCCTTTACGTCTTACTGTGAAAACACTCCGCTAGAATGATGAACAACATATCCTGCTAGGTACCTCAGCAAGTTCATTATGCTTGCATGATGTGAAAAATCCAGACTGAAACAAAACCCTGAGACTGTTGTAACAAAAATTCCTAGTCTCACTTTTGAGCTGATCAGCTGATGAACCTGGAACCTTTACCCGTGCTTTTGAAAGAATTCAAGTGAATGATTTCATTCTCTAAATATTCTGCAGTTCCACAAGTCAAATTAAACAAAACAAAAGAATTATTTACTTGATATAGGAGCACATGCATTTAATTATTAAGCTTCAAACTCTAATACTACGATCTTTACTCAGAGTCCAAGATTATACTGACCTCCTTTGCACCTCTTACAAAGTGTATCCATTTGATTTCTCCATGATCAGAAAATACTGTATGGAGATCTTCTCTGCACGTTTGATCATCTAGATCACCAAAAAACTTCAAAAGACATCCTGTCTTTTCTTCTAGAGATTTCTAAATAAAAGTTGAAGACATTTTTATTAACGAGTCAAGCTTTGAATATTCTTTCCCTCCCCCCATCATAATATTAAAACATGACAGTAACTAATTAGCAACTGAAGTCAACCCTCTTAATGCCATTAGTAACCCAACCATTCTCGCTACAGAACTTACTTATGCTGACACCCAAGTCTCACACAGTGCCCCATAACCTTGAACTTATTCTTTTTCCTTTGCCTACTACGGATACATCTATGTAGAATTTAGGATTTTCCCTTAAGATAATTAACACTCTTGAAATTTTATAAAACAATTTCCTGAAGGCTGACCTGAAATTCAAAATTCCTAATTATTGATATGATCCTGTAAGGATTTAATAATTAGCACAGAAGAATGATTATCTATTTTATTGATGTATTTAGGATCACTTCTGAACAGGTAAACATACCTAGCAATTCAAATCCAGGATATGTTCCTTTAAACAAAATCAGTCTCTTGACAAATAAGACAATACAATGACAAAACGAAGTCTTACTGTAGGTTAGTTGTAAAAGCTGAAAGGAACACATAGCTGCAGTAGCACGTTAATGAAAACGCATGAAAGCACAAACTGAATAGTTTTTAAGTAGACATTTAAAAAACCCATACCATCTCAGCATCCGCTGCTTTTTTCAGCTTTTCTTCTTTTTCCCTGTAGAGAAGTTAACATGAGTTATGAGTTGGTTCACATGTGGTCAGGTGATCAAAACCAGGCACTTCTGTTGATAAGGACTTACTGTTTAGCTCTTGCTTTGGCCTCTACTTTGTTTTGTTTCCTTTCTTCATTCTTCTTTGTACAGTACTCTTCCCTTCAACAGAATGTAAACTAAGTTAATGCCGATTAGATTATCCCATTACAATTACTTTATAAGACAGGAGAAGCCAGTAAGTAACTGAGACCATCTGTAGCAGCTGAGATGCTGGTCTGCAAACACTTGTGCTATTGGTATCTGTACAACAGTATAGAAATTTACATCCACCCTCGACCATTATTATTAGGTTCATATATCAGTTAAGTGGACTTACTTGAAAAGCACTATCAACTCTGTGTCTTTGTACTTTTGGTTTGGGATTTCTGTGAACTTCTTAGCAGATTCAACACTATCAAAAACCGCAAATATTGATCCCTGTTAAATAAGAGACGTTCAGTGTCAGAGTAATCAACAGAATGTTCTCCAGGAGGCATCCCTGCTCCAGGTCTTAATTGTTCATTGCCAAAAGCTACCTTAAACGTTTTCTGCAGAGTTCTCCTCATCTGAATGTTTTCAACTGGACCCTTATCTTCAAGCCATTCTTTGATATCATCAAGAGTTGCATCTACTGGAAAGCCTTTCTGCAAGACAGCACAAAACTTCAATTATATATGACAAATTGCAACACTTTATCAGATATAACCACCTGACCATCTAGCATGAGTTAATTCAAGCTTTAGTTTGGTTAAATGGTTCTCAGTCCAAGTAATTCAGAACAGCACAGAGCAAAGGAAGAGCTTTACTTACAACATATACTGATCTGTTTTTAATTGCAGCCTTGTACTGGTCATTCAATTCAGGAAGGGGTTTATTTGGAGACCTCCTGATTTTAGTTTTGTCTTCGTTTATTTCCATTAGACCAGTCTTGGATTTTCTTAGTGCTTCTACTATAACACCAAAATCTTTAGACAGACGACTTAACCTATTGAGTAAAGAGACACAGGTCATTAAAACTATCCAGGCACAGCTGAAGCCAACTGTTAAAATCCCAACAAGAATTTTATGTGCAGACCAGGGACATTTGGCCCAAACAGATTTAAGTAGCTAAAAATTACCCTTCCGTCCATATTAGCTGTACTATGTTTTACCTGTTGAATTTGATCATAACTTCTAGAGGCACCCAGCCATCATCTAATTTGATCTGTTCCTTTAAGAACTTGTCTCTTGGTAGATTGTGATTTCCAAAATAGTACTGCAAAAAAAGAAGAAAAAAATGTCTTGGAAATACTTGAAATTCTAATTGTTATTTTTACCAGATCAACAAAGTTCTCAAATTACTACTTCCTGCTTTAACAGGACACTTCCAAAAGTTAGCTGCAACAAGTAAGCAGTTAAAAAAACCCTGCTTCATCCAATGGGATCGTAATCAGGCAAAACTAGGAGGCTGCAGATTTGTTTAGGAGAGGCATGAGGCTCACTCTGTTAACATTCCTGACATTGTGTATTCATATAACATAATTCATCAAGGTGATAAAGATCTGCAGGGTCACCAATGAAATTTATCACCAACAGATTTAGATTTTAGTCCTTATTTAAGTGATGCACGAGACAAGAATAGTATCTTTACACATGCGTATTTAAGTGTTCATTTACCGTGTGCTCATTTTGATTGTGCCTGGCTTGGAAAGAGCAGTGTCACACAGGTGACAAATTGTTTAACTGAGCACAAAGTAGACAAGTTCATCAGATTCTTTTGCTTGCTAGCAGTCACCTAGCAAGGGTCAAATACATGAAGCCATAGGGTAAGTGGAAGTGTTTCCACCAGGATCACTATGCTTTAGGAAGAGCCAGCTCAAGTTTTACAATAGTACGTCTCCCTCTAGCATACCTCAAGTTCACATTACCACATGGCTAGCTCTGTCAACTATTTATCCCCAGTCTCAGTTATTTTCATAAATAATGACTATGGCTTCATATGCTGACGGATTCACATACAGATTCACATAATTTTGTCCTTCAGAAAGAAGGTTTTGTTCTGGATATTATTTTAAGTGGTGTGTTCGGTTATCCATTGTAGTGTAACCCTCCAAGCCTCTCGAGTAAGAAATAATGAATGTAAAGTAGGGCATTAAAATTTAGTCGTAATTTGTAGCAATAAATTACAGAGCAGTAAATCATAATAGCAAGTTATGCAGCATGCTAATATTTTCAACAGCACAGATTCCCAAATAGGATTTTTTCCCCAATTGCATACAAAGAATAACCCAAATGAACACAATTAACAAATTGTTCAATGATACATTCACTTGCTGTAATACCTAAAATGTTATCAAGTTAAATGTTTTGTATTTAAGCAGTAGTCTTACAAGCAACCTTTGACAAACGTAACTTCCAGCTTAGACTACCACTATGAATGATTATAACATATTAAAGTCTGTCACAAGTCTATGACTGTTTTTTTTAACAGAGCTGAATATTTAAGTTAACTCTATAATGTTAATTTCTCATTAGCCAAATTCTTAGTAATTAGTCTCCAAAAACTACATGAGTCTAGATCGAAAACTATAAATTGAACTTACTTCAATTTGCTGACAGATCTTGCTTTCCAAGATAGACATGTTTTCACCATCTCCATTTTCAGCCATTTTCATTAGCTGCAGTGAAGAGAATTTAGAGCAAAGGCACTAAGTATTGAATACCAACTTCTACAGACATATTCATATAGCACCACATTTAACTACATTTAAACAAGGTAACAGGCAAGTTCTTCAGCCACACGTTTATGCTTATGAGTCAGCTCTAAATATGACTGCAGAATTCCAAGTGGAAACTGAAACTAAGAAACAACTACTTAGCTGTTAAACCAGCATCTGGCATTCTAACATTTGAGATAAGTAAATAAATGTTGTCATTTTAAAGCATTTGTTATTTACCTTTTTCTAGTCACAGATCCTCAGTACCTAACAGCAACAAATCTGAGCCAACAATAGCCAACGTTTATCAGGTCGAACCCAATCCCTCATCACTAAGCAAAACATGAGTAACAAAAATTGTTTGATATTCCTAGTAAGTATAATTATAAATTTTCTGACATTTCCACATTGTACTTAATCCTTGAGAGTTCAAGGAACTTACTGGAGGAAAGAACAAAGACATCTGCCTTTACTAGTACATCCTAAAGATGTCCAGTTCTCCCTTTTATGGATTTGCTTTCACTGCAGTTCTGCCTGAATACGGCATCAACCATCTTTGAGAGGACACGCTGTTTTAAGTTGAAAGCAATTTATTCTCCTAACTAGTATTAAGCTTATGGTTCCTGTATATCAAATACAGTTGCTATATGCAGTAGGAGATTGGTAAGGAAGGGGCTACTGGACAACAAATTAATGGAGATCAGATGCTGCTCATCAAATTGCTCTTGGGACAGATGGAATAGAGTTATTCTTGAGGAAAAAAGCAGCTTTATTAACCTGTCAGAAACCAGTCTGAATTCAGTGTTTGGCTGTGAACCACAGATTTCTACTTTCTCCCTTCTCGCACTACCAAACTCGTCAAATCCAGCTGCAGAAAATAAAGCAGACCGATGTCTCCTCAGTTACCCCAGGCCAAGCCTTGATGCAGGCTGCAGCTGCTCGGCCCTCAGCTGGCCTTGCTGTTCCACACATCACACTGAATGGTGCACGGGTTTGTTGGAGCAAGCTGTCTCTTCGTACAGGTTTTTGTTAAAATAAAACCCAGGACCTTGTGGCTGCGTGCTGCCAAACTACCCGCAGCTCTGTTACAGGCAAGGACTAAGGAGATGCAGCTCATCTGAGATAATGGGTAGAAGCGCATCAGTGCAGCACGGCCACTGCCTAGGCTTTGGCTTTGTCATTTGGAGCGACCTCCCCTTCAGCCTGCCTAGGGTAACCAGCTTCTCCTAGCCTGCCCCCAAACCCGCTCTGCAGTGCGCAGGATGCCCTTGTTTCACCGCTGGGTACCCAAGGAGCCCCTAAATGCCAAGGGGATAGGGCTACCAAGTGCTATGGAAAAAATGAGACATTCTTGTCTCTGCCTGGCTTCTGCTGCCTCAACTCCTCCACCTTCCTATAGCCTTGCAAACCCTCCTGTGCAAGCAGAAACACTGTGCAGAAGGTTAGAGCAACACGAGACCTCGAGCAAACCAGGGAGCTTGAGTCTCGTGAGCAGAGCAGTTTTGCCAGAAAGCGCCCACCCGAACACCCGCACCACGCTCCGCAGGCCCCATCACTCCCCGCATGGCAGCCTCGGGCCCTTCTCACGGATCGGGCGCTGACGGTGCCCCGGCCCCCATGCCCCGAGGCAGCCGCCGCCTCCTAGCACGGGGGCGCTCCGCGCGCTGCGCACACTCTGCCAGCCCCTTGGCGCGGGCACCTGGGCCCCAGCCCCCAGCCCCCAGCAGCAGCAGCGCGGCGCGAGCAGCGGGAGCAGGGCCCCGGCGGGCGGGCCCCGCGCGCCCCGGGGGCAGGGAGCCGGGCGGCGGGAGCGGCGCTGCGCCAGGTGGCGGGAGGCGCGCGCACAGCTCCGCGTGCTGCAGCGCTGCTCCACGCGGGGCGCCGCAGGAAGCGCTTCCCGCCGCCGCCGCCGCCGCCGCCTCCGCTCCGGCCCCTTCCCGCCCGCCAGCACCAGCCCCAGCCCAGCGCGCGGCGGCCCCGCGCACAAACCTGCGGCGGCCCCGCCCGGCGCGCCCCGCACCGGCCCCGCTCTGCAGGCGGCGCGCCCCGCACGGCTCCGCTCGGCTCCGCTCCGGCCCGGCCCAGCAGCCTCCGCGCCGCCGCCCGCCCCTCACGTGGGGGCCGCTTCCGGGGCGTGGGGCGGGGCCGCGGCTGTGAGGCAAAGCCACGGCACTCGGTGCGCTGGGGGCGGCCGCCTCAGGGCCGCGCGGCGCTGCAATGGCACCAAGGAAGGCGCCAACGAACAGCCCCGGCCCTGGGCAGCCCTGTGCTGGTCGTGTAGAAAGTTTAATGTGAAAATAGCACCAGTGAAAGCGGAGCAGCGAGTCTCTGAACCCGTGCGCTCCCCTGGCTCTCCAGCATCCCAAAATCTCCCCAAAACGAGGATGGCTCTGGGTTGGGGTTGGGGCTGTGCAGTACGGGCGCTGCCCTCCCCCCACAGAAGAGCCGAAGGCCTCTCCCCACTCGCAGAAACGCTTCAGATCCCCGCCTGGCTTTTAAATCGTTCTCTGCTGTGGGGATTTCCAGGATAAATAAATTAACTCTCTTGCTAACTCACTTGGCCCGTGCGTTTCAAACAGCACCACGGGGTTTGGTTCCTCAGACCTCTCTGCATTTAAGAATCTTTAAACGCATTTGGCTGCATCCCCACGTAGGTCTCAGCGGGCCAGCTAACCAACCAGAGCACAACCCACCGTCAGTGACAGTCGGACATCAAAACGTGAGCTACACACACAGCACAGAACTTTACAGCAAACCTCAAGAGTTGAGTGAACACTGTTACTACCAAATGCAAGTGACAAAGTAGTACAACAATGTGAAATAACAAAAATATGTTGACAGTGCTTATGATTAAGAAGAAATAGTTCACCTTCTTGCAGAGTTCTTGGATGGTACCTGGTAAATCCAATAAAATCAGTATTTCATGGCAGGCGGCACTGCTGCTGCAAGAAGTTCCCACCACAACTTATCACAGTCCCCTGCTGTCCCTCCCTTTTGCACCAACATCTAACAGCCGTCCCTGCTGTCATTTTATAAGCTGGATTGAAGAACCAAAGGGGGCTAAAAGAGTCTCTCTGCTCCCCCAGCCTAATTCTTTATTTGGATCACTTCTGTCAGGCTGCATGCAGCTCCACAGCAGCTGCAGTGCCACAGCTCAAGAAACAGGGTGGAGGGATTCTGGACTGTCCAGTCTCTCTCCTTGTATTTCAGGAAGACACATGTCAAATTTCATTTCAAAAACAGTTATCATAGTAAGGCTTTTCTCTGAAAAAAAAAAAAAAAAAAAAAAAAAAAAAAAAAAGCACCAACCACAAATCAGCCAAAAAGCCCACTGCAAAGCCATGCAGAGTTCTGGAAAACTAGTGCACGTTCTGTTGGCAATCCTGGGCTACCAGGTCACATTTCTTCCCCTTTTCTCACCCTGTGCTCTTCTTCACTCTGGAAGTTGAAGGTGGATTTAGAGGCACCATGCAACTGCCCACAGTTTCTGGATGTGTAACCTAGTTCTCCTAATACTATAGCTCTATACATACCACACACCTAGCTAATGGCAATGAACCATTTCTACAGCTATATTCAGTGTATCAGAGATTTTATCATAAACCCAGTAGTCCACAACAATGCAGAGTACTTTGGTTTTACTCAACTTAGCACCAAGTTAGAGTTCCACCTGGTGGCTAATGAAAACAAGTTTTTCACAGTAGTTCCTGTATAGCTGTGCAAAGTATTATAAGGAAGTCATATGAAAATTTTCATGTCAGACAGTGAATGAACTGAAAATATATGGAAATATTTTTCCCACATTTATGCTTCTGAATTGTTTAAAATGAAGATAAACCATATAGCTTTTAATGAATGTCTGCTAAGAGACTGCACCTGACATTTCACTCCTGAGGTAAACAGTACTACTAGGAGTACTGCATCTGCTGTTTTCTGTAGCAGCAATATGAAAATCAAGTGTTTATACATTATACACACAGACACAGCCGTGTGAACGCATAGCACTGGGAAGATTACCTACTGCTTCCCATTTGTTCAGTTCAGGGTTGTATTTCTCAATACTCTGCAGATATGTTCCTTTTGAATAGGAATATCCTCCTGTTACATAGATGCATCCGTTCATGACCACTGCACCACACTCCATTCTTCTCTCCATCATGTGAGCCATCTGCTTCCACTCATTCTGCTCTGGGTCATAGCAGTCCGTGATCGTGGTCTGTCCACCCACAAAATAGATCTTGTTTTGTAATGTAATTGAACACAATCCATATTCTTCGGGAAGAAAGGAATACAATTCAACTCAGCATGATAACGTTATCTTAAACTGCAGCTACACAACAAACATTGGGCACCACTGATGCCAGCTGAGTTTCTTCAGTGAACTTGGTAAACACCCTCAGGAATTTCTGCTAGACATACATAGACGAGCACCAGTATTTAGTGACAATCTCTTTAGAAACTTATTGTTACCAAATGTAGAAAATAGAGAAAGTCTTTTGAAAATTCATATAGAAGACCTTTGCCAAACAATTATGAATAGACGGATTTTATGGGAAGTTAGCTTACTATGTTATTTACTAAAGTACAGCCATTCCTTAGTTGAGTATTATAAGGTGATTTCTATACAGCAGACACTTGAGGGGGGCCTTTCCCTCCCTTCTCCAAGCCTGGAAATAGTAGATCATCCCACAGGGACAAGCGTCCACTCTGAACCTTGCTGCCCTAGAAGTTTTCCACATCTTACTAGGACCTAGTCAGAAACTCTTAAGTGGGCTTAAAGATTTAGGATTAAACAAATCAAACTCTATGCTCATTACAAAAATTATTGTTTACCTGGATGAGGACTTGTGGCGACTATACTCCACTCATTGCTACCTGAATGGTATCTCTGGATTTTATCATAGGTGCAGCTTCCTCTGTAGCCATAGTGACCTCCGGTTACGTAGATGACTTCATGCAGGACACAGGCGGTGGCATTTCCAACACCTGTACACAGTGTGAAAGTCACAACACACCTTCAGACTGCATACAACACCCACTGGCACTTCCACTGATAACCCCAAGTTAAATGGCTTGTTAATTAACATAGGATGAAATTATATTTGCAAGTATTTAAGTGAATGTTAAATTAAATAAACTGTCAAGACACCTTATTTTAGTACTGTAAGTCATGAGCAATTAAATAAACATGCAGTAACCGACAGGTATTGCATGTAATATGGCCATAGAAAAATTCACATAATCCTTATCGTCATTAGGGACACGGTCATGCTGGTTTTGAAATAGGGAATTACTTTAAATATTTCACTAAGTTTCAGTGATTTTTTTATGCCTCACATACGTGGAAAGAACAAATTCAGTGGGAGCTGAGATTATTCAGTGTCTCAGGGTATTTTTAGTCTTTCTCATATTATTAACAACACTGCTGTACAAACAAGGACACAAATAGAATGTAGCCATGTTAACTCCGTCTCCAGGAGAACAAAACAAAAATAAAACAAGGGAACTGCAAGATAAAACAGGCAAAACCTAGCAAATTAGTGTGTTTTTAAGTATCTAAAAAGCTTCAGGAAGAAAATGTGACAAAATGCCTGCACAGAACATGTAACTGCTCACAGCATTAACACAGCTTTCCTGGATTTAAATTAAGAGAATAATAGCAGTGATTGTGGGAAAGATTTAAACATTAAAGAAACAATTGCATAAGCATGATTAGCATTTTTCCTGTTAGATATCTTAAAAAATTCTGAAAAAATACCATGTTGTATTAACTTAAAATAAAATCTCACAAAAGATTTTATTTCTAATTGAAAATAATTACATTAAGTTATAAAAAATATTATGTGTGATTATTTATAATTTTTATAACCAAATAATATAATTGAGTGAGGTTGTGATCCAAATTCATAAATTTTTAATAGATCACTATTTTGGCTGCTAAAAATAGGTATGAGTGCTTTTCCTAACCCTCACGCTGAAGATTAAACTAAGGAACCTGAACAGATGATACACTGAAATACGAGCAAGCTTCATGCAAGAAAGTTTAAGTGAAGACACTTATTTTGGTATAAATTCAGATTATTTCTGTACAATTATTTATAATATGATCCCTTTATTCACTCTGAGGATACGCTGAATAGACTTTAATCCCAGGTAGGTTTCTAATTTCTTTCCAAACTGAACATAAATTGAGCTCCTGAAGGAAGACAAGATTAAAAAGAGACCACCACACCACCACCTGCTCGTTCATCCTGTGTTCCATGGCTCAGCCCAGCCCAGTGTTTGGATGCTTGCAGCAGTTTGGCTAGTAAAGACCTGAACCAAAGCCCACCACAACCACCAGGATGCTTCCCATGCACTTCAGTAGAACTTGGATCAACCCCTAAACGTGTCAGTGGCACTTCTGTGTGGCAAAAGTGGAAGGACTGACATTGAAGCAGACACCACACAAAACCTTACGTACCTTTGATCATGTTTGCAATAGGAACCCATTTCTTTTTTAAAGGATCATAGAACTCAGCTTCTTGCACTGGAGCTCCCTGCCGGTAACCACCCAACGCATAGATGCAGCCACTGAGGGAAACTGCACAGTGGTAATACCTCGCGTCGAGCATGGGGCAGCCTTCGGTCCACTCGTCTCTCTCACTGTTATATATCCACACAGTATCAAGGGCTTCGATGCTCTCCGTTCTATAACCTCCCGTCACATATATGTCAGGTCCCAAGTTTGTGACCCCATAGCTCTCCCGGGTATGATCTGGCATGTCTGTTCCCTGGACCCATGTGTCAGTTAAGGGATCCCAAACATGCACCTCTGATAAGGGATGCCAATAATACCCTCCGATCACATACATGGTGGCCGTAGGTCTTTTGGAAAGGCCTTTGGGGCTGGGATTCAGGGCGTTGTATACGAGTGACCGTATTTTATTATCGTTAAGTCGGCATTTTTTTTGTAGGCTTAAAGCTGACCTCAAGTACACGTTATCTAGGTCTATTTGGATGCAACTCAGCAGTTCATAGATGTCCTCGATCCTCTCTTCCACGTTGTGGGCTACCCACTTCACCACCGCTTCGATGGCTGCCTCCTCCTTCCAGACATTCAGGTTCTCTCTGGAGAGGATGAACGCGAGCTTCTCCTTGCCGATGTCCAGGAACTCCTCCTGCTTCCACACGTCTTCAAACTGCCACAGCAGCATCCTGCGCGCCTCCTTCTCCAGCTCCGAGCAGCTGTGGTACTCGGCGAAGGCGTGCATCCCTATGCAGTTGTCGGTGTCCAAGTGCCTGACCAGAAACTGCTCGCAGGCTTTCTTTACCGAGGCGAACTGGAGGAGGTCGGCCGCCTGCAGCAGGCTTTGGACGTTTCTCTTTGTTATCTGGATCTGGGAGGTGTAGGCGTAATTCACGAGGGCTTCCAGCACGGCGTGGCTGAGCTCGGGAAGCCTGATCTGGCTTTTAGCCTTCTCCTTCATGTCGGCCGTGAACATGGCTTTGAAGTAACCGCTGCAAGCCGCCAGGACGGCTCTGTGGCAGCGGAGGCAGACCCCCGAGGCGCCCTGGAGCGCGATGTCGGTGAACAGCCCGTCCAGGTAGAAGCCGCGGAACGCCCCCAGCAGCCGCGCGGGGTGCGCGGGGTCCTCGTACTCGTACGCGAACCCCTCCGCCTCCGCCCCCTGCCCGCACACGGCCATGGCCGCAGCGCCCGGCGGCTTTGTGGCGCCCGCCCGGCCCCGGCCCCGCCCGCTCCTTACGCCCGGGGCCGCCGGGGCCCGCGGGAGGCGGAGCCGCGCGGGCAGCGCCCAGGTGGGCGCCTGAGGCCGCGGCGGGCTGAGGCGGCTCCTCCGCCCTGAGGGACGGCGGCAGCTGCGCGGGCAGCGCCTCCCGGCCGCAGCGCACAGCCGGAGCGCCTCCCGCTGCCCCGGGGCTGCCCCTGCCTCAGGCGTGCGGGGAACGAGGTCAGGGGCGCCCCAAAATTGTACAGGGCTCCCCTCAGCGCCTCAGCCTGAGAGGGGCAAGAGACAGTCGCGAACTGCGCTGACTCCGACTGTAGCAAATTATTCTTAATTTATACGGCTTCCAAAAATGCGGTTCGCTATTTCAGCCTTCTCTTCTGGCGGTGTTTTCAGCAGCGGATGCCCTGCACACATCTGGAGCAGGCCCTGAGGGCAGAGGCAGGGCCAGGGCTCCCTCAGCAGCAGTGGGACTTGGGTCCTTCGGATGCACCAGCTGGGCGCTCCCTGCCCTGCGCTGCAAGGGCGCCTTTCACCAAGCAGAGGGAAGGTTCTTGTTAGCCAAGTGCCTGCAAACCCCAAGCTTAAATTAGGAGGGCTGCTGCTCTGCACAGATTTAAAAGCATCATTTTATTTTCTTTGCATTACCGGTGGTACTTCCTAATTCCCACCAAAAGCATGGGTGGAAGAAGGAATCTGAGTGGGGAGGTGTATACAGACATCTCCTCTACCACGCTTGCTCACATGCAGGCTGCGACAGGACTCAAACTTTCCCTTGCCCTCTATGTAGCAGTGCAAGACAAACAAAAATACCTAACAAATCCTTCACGCATCTTTGACTTTCTTGGTTTTGTTTCTTCCAAACACTCTTGTTGCGTTGTTAGCCCAGGGAATGTGTTTTGTGGTGCAACCCAGGCATTAGCAGTAGGCTCACCAGGGCCTGTCCCACAGCTACATTACTCCACTTTTATTTTTTCTCTGGAGCATTCCCTTGTAGGGCCCCAAGTCTGTTTGTATGCCCCCAAGCCAACAGCTTTGTTTTGCTGCTGGTTTTCACCTTCCGTTTCATCAGCTTCCTATGGATATGCATGAACTTCTCTTAGCCCTTGGTCACCCTACTAGCACATAAGGTCAGGACATAGGATTACAGCTACATACTCTTTACAGTAACCTGTGTATAATACCAGATCTGTTACCATACAGAAAAATTCCCATACGCTCAGCAGTCTCCCATTATGCATTCCTTAATATCTTTACCTAAGTTACCACATTTCCCCAGAAGCTGGGCATTTCCCCCCCCGCCCCTCTCAGAGGGCATGCTGTTTTAGCCACCCAGCAAGTCAGGTCAGCAACACTAAGTACAGAACATGTACCCTTTCAAGGATCTCCTCTGTCTACTCCTTTTCTCTTTTGGTTGTGTTACCAGCTGAAGCTGACTTCACAGTCTGGAGGTACACGTCTCCCCTCCCTTATACCCAAATGTGGAAAAATGTGGTAATTGTGGTGCTTCAGAAAACTGATTTATTTTTTTATTTTCAGAAGAGGAGAAAAAAAATAACACAAGACCTCATTAATTGCTTAATGGCTTACCTACTGGAATGGAAAAGCTCCTTCTGTCTCTAACACACAATTTGTCCAGGAAATAGCATCAGCTCTACCCTGTACTTGAAGTGATTGAATCATAATAGCTAATCTTTCAATTAGTTTTCTTTGCTTAATCTATTCTCATCTCCCACTTCTGTACTCCATCACAAAAAATAAAAACAATCCCTTTTTGATTATGGAGATTAATGTCTTAATGATTCAGCAATATAGCAAATTACAAAATAAGGTTCCTATGGCTGAAGAATATTAGGAAACCTAATTTAAGTGGAAGAAAAAAAAAAGAATATTCATATACTAGGTGGCTAGGGCTTTTTTGTTTGTTTCTTTGCTTTTTAAATAAGCAATAACTGAGATCTGGACAATAACTGGACAAACAGAAGGCAAACTGTTTTGCAGGTAGGTTACGAAGAGCACAGAAGAAATTGGCACAGTACCTGTTAACACAGCAGCACATCCAGAATGCAGGAATACACAACTTTAAGAAGTAACCACACAATATTGTGCAATGCTACAGTCATTAGCACTTTTGTACAACACGCAAATCAGAAGACTCAAAACTGTTGAGGCCCACCAGTTAGCAAGATGCCATCTTTGTGCCCTTGCACAAGACACGTTAAAATCTCTAGTATAAACACCTCAGACAGCTATCAACTATCTGTCAGCTGTGCACCTAGTAAGTCAAGTATATTATTTGAGACACCTCAGGTAACAAACTGCTAAAGCAACCTGCTGTAATTAGTTAAAATAGGTGAAGGACTAAACCCCAGTACAAGGCAGTACTCAAAGGAAATCTTCATTTCAAGATTTCTGCTCAAAATGGGGAAGACCACCCCTAAAAACCTTCAACTTAGAGAAAGAAGGTAGTGACAACATCAAGTGTCCATAAGAAAATGAGAAGAGTGCTGCCAGACAACACAGAAGACAACAGCTACAGCAATTGCAGGTTGCTGAGCTACAACTTAGACATCTGCAACTGAACTACTGCGAGTTAGACCAATTTCTCAGCTAAGACACGTACGGGTAGAGAACAGACATCAGTTCAATAGCAGATTATAACCTACTTTGGGAGACTGAGAAAACATTTGGCATGAAAAAGTGTGACTTTAATGAGACATACTTCAGTATGCATAGCACGAAGTCTTAGGGCTCATCTCGCTGTGAGTGAGAAAGACTCCCTGGTCACAGACGGTTCCTGAAACTACTGAAAGGCAGGTGAATTCTGTTAAAAAGTTAGAATGGACACAGATGCTCCCTTGCAGCCCATGAGAGGGCTATGTGGTGCACAAGAGTGAACGGGCAGAACCGTGCAAACACATGCACATACGCACCGTTCCATGGGCCCACACACTGCAGCAGAAACCCATTGAGGAAACAGCACCCGGCTGGCTCCGAGGGGTCAGCAGGGAAGATCTAACCAGCAGCAGCCCTACGCACACGGTCAGGGTGATAGTCAAGGGAATAGGAGAATGGCTCTCCTGTCAACAGCACCACACTGTTCTTACTGCTCTCCAGAAGACAAGGGGTCTGACTGACAATGTAAACAGTGGTACCCAAAGACTGACACCCAGACTTGTGTTCGCTCTCCCCAGGCCCTGACAAAAACAGGTGCCTAACTAACAACACAGAGGCCAGCAGAACACATTATACAAATCATGTATGTTGCTTTTGTCACTGACAGTAACTTTTATTGTCTTTAATTAAAACTCTTAAAAAGGAGTTTTGTTTGGTAAACATTCAGTGTATTAAAAATATAAATGCATCTTCAGATCAAACAAGATTAGAGGCATACCAAATCATTTACAAATTAAACATTTACCCTGATTAAATAGTATTCAAAGCCAATGGTTCCAGAACCATGCTCCAAAAATGTTAAGAATTTAAGTTCTTTATAAGAATTATTTCTTTCTTTTGTGCACTAATCCCACTACTTTCCCTGAGCACACGGAACAGACCTCACATGCAGTCAGTAACCCTTCGGGGTCAGAAGAAGATTAACGGTGATTCCTCCTGCAACCCTCTCACCCCCTTTTTCACTGATGTTGGAACATGTAATATGCTAGAAAGCCATTTTAACATCACTTTCCCACTATTGCCAAAAGTGAACATACAGTTTTGTATCGTGTTTAAAAAACATGGGTTCAGAGCACATCACAGTTCTAGTTTTGTGCTTTTATGCACACGTAGTGTTTCTCTCCTGGGAAGAAAAAGGCGTAACTATATTGGTTTCCTTTTATCATCTGAATTATTCCTTTATACGCAGCTTCAGATAAGACGCTATTTCAACAGCAGTTGACCAAACCAGAACAGAACACTCTACAGGACTGTGATCTTGGGAAAGCTGAGAAATCCTTTTCTCTAAGGTATACCCATGCCTGGGCATAGCAATATCATTCTTCTTCAGAGACATTACCGGACATAGGTCATTCCCACCATCACCTATATATACAACTTGTGTGTAACTTACTCCTCGCTCCAACTGTTTATCTAGGAATTCTTTTAAAACTTTCCTTTTGCAAAGGTTTTTAGGGCACTTCGGACAATGGTGAGCGTGAAAGTTCTGCACAGTTAGGTAGCCGGTACTGCTGAATGCTGCAGGGTTTGTAAACACTTCATCAAACACCTTATGGAAGTCAGCGGCTTTTAGAATCCAGTCAATAAATACGGTATTAGAGTCTGAAACAATTATGCAGTCAAAAAGCTCCTTGTTCTCGCCAATAAAACGCAGAAGATCTCCCATTCCCGCGGTGAAAGGGATCGTTGTCATAGTCCTTCTCATCTCCTCCTCTTTGACACCGCTGTCTCCCAGGTAGACAAACACTCTGCCCATGTATTCGGTCCAGTGCCCCGGCTGGTAGGAGTTTCTCAGTCCATGAGGAAGCCTCTTCCCAGGAGCACACTTCACGATCCAGGTGTCGCTATTTTCATCTACGATCGTGTGGTCAAAGTCAAAAACCAACAGGAATTTCATAGCTGCCCAGGGTCGGTTTACAGAACAAACAAGAAAAGAAAAAAATAATAATAAAAAAAGAGAAATACTTATATAAAAGAAACTACTCAGCTCCTACCCCGATCTTGTGCTCAGGTGACAAACACGACGCGAGGGCAGGGCGCTACGACAAGCACACAACCTGGGGGCGCTGCCTGCGGCCGCTCCAGCCCCAGGACGCGAGGCCGAGGCCGAGGCCGAGGCGGGCAGCTCGCGGCAGCTCCGGGCCCGGCGCCGCATCCCAGAGCCGCGCTGCGGCACCGGCCGGGCCCCGCGCCGCCACCGCCACCGCGACCGAGCGGGGCTCCCGCAGCCGGGCAGCGCTGCCGCCGCGGGGCAGGGCGGGGCCGCCTCAACGCCGCCTCAGGGCCCCTCCGCCAGGCGCGGCCAGGCCCGCAGGGGACAGGCCCAGGCCCGGCCCCGGCCCCGCCGCTCCCGTGGCGCCCCGCGCCAGCCCCGCCCGCCGCCGGGTTGCGCGGCAACAGCGGCAGCGCCGGGACATGGCGGCGGCGCGGCACGGGCGGCCCAGCGGGAGGGGGCGGCTGCCCCGTGAGTGCGCGGGGCGCTGGGCGCGTCCCTGGGTCCTACCCGGGGGCAGCGGGAGCGAGGCGGGGTCCCCCAGGCAGCGCGGCTGGAAACGGGCTGAGGGCAGCAGCAGCAGCAGCAGCAGCAGCGCGACCCGCGGTGAACGCCGCGGCCGCCCGTGGCTGGGCACCCCCCGCTGGCAGCGCGCAGCTCGGCGCCGTTCCCCTCGGGAGTGCCGCTGGGGACACACAGGGCGCTGCTCGAAGCGCGGCGGTGACCTGGCGGCTGTGGGAGTGCCCGCATGTGTGTGTGCGCCCGACACAAGGCGCTGCGCGTCCTGCCAGCGGCTCAAGGCACTGCTCTGCCGCGCCCGCTGTGTTGCAGGAGGTGCAGGGCGCGCACTGAGAGGGGCGGCGAGGCACGGCCTGCGCCCCCGCTGCTGCCGCACCCACCCCCAGCACCACCTGCAGCGCCATTCCCCAGTCGTTCCCTGCCGGGAATGCTTCCTGGCCCCCATGGCCAAATACCGTCTGCGAGGCATCAGCTACCACAGGCCGAACCTGCACGCACACACGGGTACAGGGACGCGCACAGTTACACTGCTCAGCGCCACGGCCCAACTACACACACTGCCCGCACTCAGAACACAGGCACAGATCGGCCATCACAGCTCTGGGGTACTGGGACAGGGAGAGTTATTGTCAGGACGACTCAGTACTGATAATATGCAGGGACTGAAATCCTGCTGCAGGTTTGAATTTAGGATTTTGTGATTCCAAGTAACCTCAGTATCTTTTCTTCCCTCTACCTAGCATTGCACAGTTCTGTACAAAATAGTCTTCTGGATGGATGTTTTCTTCCAAATGGAGTAGATCTCCGTCAAGTAATTATATTGCCAAAAGCGGAATGGGAAAGGATGCAGGACAATCTTGGCAGCATTAGTAGGGAAGCAGCACGCATCCTTGCTGAGAAGAAAGAACGTGAGGAAATGCACCGACGCTCCAAAGCGGCTGTAAAAGACTGGCCCAATACCATTATGGTAAATACAAGACACATCTGTAAACTAGGTGATGCATGTAGGCAAAAACACAACAATATTTCTAGGTGTATTCCCTTAGTTTAACATCTGCTTTTAAATATGTATTTTAACTAAGCTACGTATAAATAGTTTAATTGTCAAATTAAACCTAAGATGCAAAATTAAAAAAAAAAATCACTCAGTGATTCATCACCTTCAGAATGGTTTATACATTTTTTATTCCATAGTTTTGAATGTGACTTCTAAAAAAGTGAATTTTTATCTGCATTATAGGGCCAGGCACAAAGGAAACTTAAAGCCAAAAAATTACGTGAAGAAAAGGAAGAGGAAGAAAGAAAGAAAGTTGATTTGGAAGAAGCACAGTTCCAAGCAGCAAAACGGAAGGAAGCTATTGATCAAGCAAAAACTTACCTATACTATCAGAATGAAAGAGTGAAGGGGTTGCATGTTTGTTGACAACTTAAAATATTTAAATTAAAATTGTATTGAATTTCTTTTAACACTCTGAACATGCAAATTAATTGAAATGTTTTTTTGTAGAGTGCACTGCTACTTACTGAGGTCCTAAAGGAAAGAGATGCTCAAATTGAATTTAAAAAGTTCAAGCCAAGTGTTAACAAAAAGAAGGAAGAAGAAGCAGAACGTGAGCGTAAAGAAGCTATTCTCAGAGAGCAAGAAAAGGCACATCAGCGTTATATGGATCGACAGGCAATATGCAGAGATCAGTTGGAACAGTAAGTAGTAGTAAAATAGGGTTACTTGTGATTAATTATGTATTTAAACTCTCTTCTCACAAATACATCCTGTAAGGTTTTACAGAAAGTTGCACACAATGTTGCTGTTCTTTACGTCTGACAATATACCCAACTTCACTTCAAAATGTCAGATTTTTTTTTAAATTTCATAGGCAAGCAGAATCTCTATCTGTTCATTACTTCACTTGGTCCCTAACCCATTTTTTTAACCCTTTTTTTTTGTTTGTTTGTTTCAGAATAGAGGAGCACAAGCGTCAGGCAGATCTGGCCAAGCTAGAAGACAAAAGAGAAGGAGAAGAAATACAGAGATTAAGTCGACTGTATGAGTTGGAAATGCAGAAAAAAATGGAAAAGGAACATGAGGAAAAACTTGAACGCCAGAAGCTGTATCATGTAAGTGACAGGAAAGCAGAGAGTTCAAAATGCTTGTTTTACCTTGTCTTCTCAGAGTGAAGCAATAGCGTTAATATTATCTAAGTGGGCCTGCTGGCAACAGGAGGTTTGCTGACAACTTTACCAATGTTAGGTCACATTGCTGGTTGCAGGCCATGTCTTCCCTGTCTGCTCTTGAGAAGGGCCTCTTGGGTGGAAGTCCCTTCTCTTGTCTGAAGGGGTGACATCAGCACCTGATGCTCTGACTGGTGTATGATGAAAAGGTCTGCTGTAGACATCAAGGAACAGTCTCCTTGACTTGAAAACGGCATTTGGGTACCGTGTACCTGCCCTGTTTCAAGCCCATTTTCATTTGTTAGGAAGAGGGAGTAGTCTGAGTCTGTGAACATGAAAATACCTCTTTAACTTGTCTTTCCCTTTATGATTAGATATGTTTAGAAAATTGTCAAGATCTGCTGCCCTCCCTCTTCACCTTCAAAGGCACCTTGCTAAATGCAAACCAGACACGCCTCACAACGCTTTTGGCCAGCATGCAAAAGACAGTAAATTTTTTTACATAGAACTCTAGAAAACTCCTCGTCAGCTAGGATTTGGATTAAGCTCAAACTGGGATAGTTTTGGATGAGGTGGGCCAGGAGTAGCACAGTCTGTGTAAGTATTGGTGGGGTTACGCAGTTCCATTCCTCTCTACATTCCCCTCTCCCACGTGTGTGGATGGCAGCGAGGGATAATGCTCCCTGCATTGCATGCTGACCTGCATAATGGGTTGGAGGAGTAGCTGTTTAATGCTCATTTCCCCTTCTCCTTTCTCCTATCCACCATCTCCTTCATGCATGTTTGAGCCATAAGAAGAAGAATCCCCTTCCTTTCTGCTCTCTTTGAAAAAATGTGAAAAGAAAACAGAAGAGGAAGTGATTCTTTTAAGTTGCAGCCAAAGGCCTAGATTTTCTGAACTTCATCTGTTATACCAGGACTGTTTTGCCTATGCAGAAGCATGTAGCTGACCAGAAAATAATCAAGGCAGCAGAGGAACAAAAAGAAATGGAAGAAGATGATCGGATTAGAGCTCATTTCAAAGCAAAGCAAAGGATTGCCACGCTGATGAAAGAGAAGGAAGCTGAAATGCGTAGGTAGGTACAAAGTTTGAGTATCAAATGTATCAAACTTAAGAATTATACAGTTGTCACATTCAAGTTCTTCAAGCTGATGATATAACAACAAAAAAAAATCACAGTTATTCTATAATTAAATTCTACTCATAGGGAAGAGGAGAATTCAGGACAAAAAGGAAGTTCTTTCACAGGTTCATTAGTTATAGGTCTATGTGTGTGTGTCACCTCTCCCCTCTTCAAAGTACAAAGATTTACAGAAGTGCAAGCTGTGTGGCAGGAAGAGAAGACTGATGGGTTTGGTAGCAGCAATGCTTCAGGTAGACCAGGTGCGTATGTTACAATAGCTCATGTGCTTCTGCAGACTAACACAGGAACGTCAGGACAAAATTGTTACCCAATTGGCTGCCCAAATGAGTGAAGCATTGAAGATGGAAGATGATCGTATTGCTAGAGACATTGCAAAAAAAGAAGCTGAAGAAGAAAAAAAGAACAAAGAGAAAGAAGCAAAAAATAAGGCTGCCATTGAATCTATTGCTGAACACAGAGCCACCGTGGTAAAAAAATAATAAATCATTCTTATCCCTCTTTCTCTCCTATCCTTCCAAATACCTTTTAGATACATTGTGGGTTTTAGCATAGCAATTGTTAGTGGGATGCTTGTGCATGTTCTCACTTAGCAGCTGCCTCTTACTTACATCCAACTCCTTAAGCAAGTTGCAAGTGGCACATGGGAAGATCCTCTTGCAAGAGATCAGCATGCTGCATCAGGTCTGCTGACATCTTCCTGGGGTCCTCTCTCCCTCTCCCACCTCATGCTGGGCACACATCTGTTGATGCTGCTGGAAACTCGGGGCTTGGACACTGGCCAGCTACGATGATTGTGCTTACCAGCGAGTGCTGATACAGGGCTGCATCATCATTGCTTTTGTATCTGGCCTGCAGAATGGCTGGTGGCGATACATGACTCTTCAAACTGGCAGGGTAGCTACTTGGCTAACCTCTCTTGTGTAAAATTCAGGTGAAGATGAAACTGGAGAAGGAGAGAGAGGATAAAGCAGAAAGTGTAAAAGAACGTCATGAATTAATGGAAAAGAACCGCATCTACCTGGAAGGGGAAAAAGCCAAGAAACAAAGACAACGTGATGCAAGTGTGGAAGTACAGAAGATTCAGCTCCAGCAGATGGTAAATAGAAGTGCTGCACCCTGTCAGCCCCTTCAGAAAGTAGCATGCATCTAAAGCAACAGTATGAGAGGCTGAGGGGCTAGGAGAGGAAGCATGCTGTGGTTTTTGTTAATCTTGTATGCTCTGCAGATGTTGGCATTGGGACCAGCCACATCTCAGCAGTGGCACAGAAGTCTCTTCTGGGCTTTCTCAACCCTTGTTGGTCAGGGAGGATGACCTGGAAGGGCAGGTGATAAGAGATCGGCCCTTAGCAACTATGGCTTCAGGAGACCCCACTCAGGAATGCAGATCCCCCTTCTGCATTTGAATTTCCCCTGAGCTCATGACCCCATTTTTCAAGTCCTTGTGGCGTCACTGTCCCAGTGTGGGAGCTGGTCATACAAAGCCTTTCCTCTCAAGGGGTGTTGTGCATGTCAAGGCTGTTTTGCAATGACACATCACTTCTTGTCCTGTGTTATTATGTATTGCTGCTGGTCTCTTGTATCTTCTGGGCAGATTACCAAAGAGCAGCAGCAAATGCTGATATTCACTCAGCTATTCAATGTACCCCTTCTTTTTTTGTGGTGAGTGTGGAACAGAACTTGGGAGGGATGTTATTTGACAAATATCAACTACTTAGCATTACTTCAAATGTCTTGTAAATGTACCCTCTTGAAGACTCCACAGCTTGTTATGTTGTGAAAGAAATACCAAGCTGTCATTCCCTTTTCTTCTTCAGGCAGAAAAGCAAGCAAGAAAACAGCAGGAGAAGCAAGCAGACTTGGACTACGATGCTCAGAAACAGCTTATTGCACTTTGTAGGGAGCGTGAATTTCAGAAGTATGCCAAGCAAGTTATTGAATCAGAGTCCAAGACTACACACAATCTCTATCCTCTCCTCAAAGCATCCAGAAATATAACAGGACTTGGATGTGGGCCATTTTCCAGAGGAAGCAAAGGAATAAATCTTAGTTTTCACGAACAGGATGTTGCTGAGACCCAGTTACCTGCTTGTAGCTGTACTACTGCACAGGAAGATAAAAATATGAAATAACACTGAGACTATACAGCAAGGAAAGACAGAATAGTTTTCATGTGGTTAAAAAAATACCTTTTTGAACGTTATGGGCAGAGTCAAGACTGCAAACAGATCTATATTAAATATATCTTACGAATCTGGAAGACATTTGAAAAAATAAATACCAGAGAATTGAGTGTATTCTCAAAAGTCACTAGCTTGTATTTCATGAAAGTCGGCTTATTTAACTAGAGGCAGCAGTGTGTTACATAGAACTGACGGTCAACAGAACCCATTCCCGCCAAAGGCTCACTATTGCTGCTACGTTTTTATGATTTTTCTAAAAATTCACTGTCCCAGGTTTTTCAGCCCTGTGGGCTACTAATGCAATACAAATTCCCTACACAGGTGCAAAAAGTCACACTATTCACTAGCCTATTTCCAGTTCAGTATTCCCCATAAAGAAAAAATAAATAAAACATTTACAGAACCTGCAGGACAAGAAAGAGCAGCTAAATACACACAGAAGCTAGAATACTTATAGTACTGCAGTTTTTATAGTGTTTTGCAACCACCTCCATAAAATTAATGCCTTGCTGTAAATCAGTTATGTGAAAATATGAACGTGGTTTGGTCGCAGCCCTTAAAGGTCATCTAAAAGGCATTATACACCCCAATATAGCTGTAAGTAGCTACTGCAAAAACACTGTGGCAACAAGAAACAGCGCGGTTTGGGCAGCCTTTCAGACAGACCGACAGTGGTGCGAGCTGTGGTTCAGCCGGCCTTTGCCGCCCAGCTCTCCGGGCCAAACCGGGGAATGCCGCAAGCTCTAAGAAGTTAGGAGAGTTTCCTAAAAAGGGTGCCTGATAATATTTTACTGTGGAAAACCGGCCTCGTGGGTGCCTTCGAGACTCTGAGCCCGGCTTCTGACCGAGGCAGGCTTCGGACGGGGCGGGGGCGCGGAGCCGGCCGGGGGCAGCGCTCCCCCACCCTCCGCAGCGCTCCTCCCCGGGGCCGGGCCGCCCGGGGCCGTCAGCAGCCGTCGGGCCGGGCCGGGGCGGTGCCGCTGTAAGGCCGCTGCCAGAGCCGCCGCCCTGCTCTTCCTTTCTCTTCCCGCCCTGCCAGGAGCCGTGTCCGCCTCAGCCCCAGCCCCAGCCTCCCGCCGCGCTCTGGGCGCTTCTCGCCGGGCAGCGCCGCTTCCCTGACGGGCCGGGCCGAGCCGGGCGGTAGCGGAGGCAGCCGCCGATGGAGCACCAGCAACCGGGCGCCGCCGAGCGGGAGGCGGAGCGGGAGCGCGGGCGCTACGCGGAGCGTCGGGCCGTGGCCAGGGAGCAGCTGGCGCAGTGAGTCGGGGCCGCCACCGGGACCGGCACCGGGACCGAGCCCGGCCCGGGGCGGGCGGCGGGGAGCGGGGAGCGGGGCTCCGGGCGCGGCTCCAGTCGGGCCCTCCCCGCGCCGTGGGCTCCCTGTGGCAAAACACCGCGTGCTCGCCGCTTCTGCCAGCCCATAATAAGTCATCCGTGCGGCCGGCGTGGGCTGAGGGCCGCGCTTTGTCTTAGTGCTGGCACTGCGCGGAGGTGGCAGCTCGCTGCTAGCCGGGAAAGGCCGGACTCGTGCGGGCAGGGGGCTGACAATTGAGATGCTCAAATGGGATCGCTTACTCAAACCCATCTGCTGGTCGTGTTTGCTTTTGCTAGTACTGGCTTAACTGGGAAATTTCTCAGTGCTTCTTTATGCCAGAAGTCAACTCTGGCGGAAGGATTTGCAGCCACCACTTAAAAACCCGTGGTTGTATTTTGGTCCGATGCGCTACTTTCACTTCAAAATACCGGGCTGTTCCGTGCTCAGGTACCTGCAGACATGCAGGATCCCGACCTGCTCACGTCCCGGAATCCCCAGCCCACTTACTCCATTCCTTGCCTGTTTCAGAATACAGGAACACAAGCATCAGGCAGAGCTGGCCAAGCTGGAAACCAGAAGAGAAGGGGAAGAAATACAAAGGCTCAACCAGTTGTACCAACTGGAAATTCAGAGAGGAAGGGAAAATGAACAGGAGGAAAAACTTGAACTCCAGAGGCAGCATCATGTAAGTAACAGGAAGTCAGAGAGTTCGGTGCTTGCTTCACTGTAGGTGTCTAGAATGAAACAATTGTATTAGGGTGATGGATAAACGGGCCTGATGGCAACAGGAGGTTTGTTGGTAGCTTCATTAGCAGTGTTAAGTTGCATACCGATGTTGAGAGCTGCAGGATAGGCCTTTCTTTTGTCTGTTTTTGGGAAGGGCCTCTTGAAAGTCCTGATGTGACACCTGAACTTTAACTGGACTACAATGAAAAAGTCTGCTGTAGACATCAGGGAGTATTCTTGGCTTGATACCTGGATTTCGATTCCATGTACCTACTCTGTTTTAAGCCCATTTTTCCTGGTCAGGAGGAGGGAGTAGTCTGAGTCTGTGAACATGACTTTTTTTTTTTTCCATGTCTTTCTCTTTCTGATTAGAGATGCTTAGAAAACTTGTGAAGACCTACTCACCACACCTATCTTTCCCTTCTCTGTACCTCCTTCCCCCAAGAGCTGCTTGAGATAATTGGGTCCTGATTATTCTCTTCCATCTGTTTCTGTTCAGTATCTTCTCCGCTAGTACAATCAAAGAACTGCTATGATAGTTTAGGCGTGAAGTCTCTGATAGATTTTTCTTAACCATTCAATATTTCTAAAATCTCATTCTGTGTGACAATAGTAGTTATTTTCTATTTAAACAGGAGCATGTAGCTGAACAGAAAGTAATTAAAGATGAAGAGAAACAAAGAGAAGACCAAGATGATGATCGGATTAGGGCTTACATTAGAGGAAAAGAAATGATGGCTGATCTGAGAAGAGAAGCAGATGCAGAGACCAGTAGGTAGGTTGAGGTATTTTCAGTGTTAAGATTCAACTTAATGTTGTGACAAATGTTACTGTGAATTTTTACATCAGCAAAATCCAAACTGATGCAAGAAGGTTTTCTGTGAGTAGAACTTAACAAAAAGTAGACAATTCAGCTGAAACCCTATGTTTTAGTAGAAATTGGTGCTGTGGGGGGTAGGTAAACTCTCAAGCCTTCAAGTTGCCTAGATGCTGAAATGCAAATCTCTGCATCAGTGTGTTGCCTGTCTTTCTCTGAGAAAGAAGGAACATGTTTGACTTAACTAGGCAACAGTATTAATATTCTTACAGTAATAGAAGAAATATTGTTTACTTGTGTAGCTGAGAGGGCCAATGCAACAAGCACCCTTTGCTTTCTGCTTCCAGCCAATGCTCCCAGCATTTGCCTGCAGTGACAGTGGGTTAGGTGGACTCCTCCCTGTGTGATCCATTTCACTATAGCGACAAAAAGCAAGCATGCCAAAAAAATAGGGAGTGCTTACTTGCCACGTCAGTAAAAGGATGTCAAAGAGCTGAATGGGTGGGCCTCTGTGGCAAGAGAAGATAGAAGGGTGGAAGCAGGATTGCTGGCTTTAGTTGGGGCAGTGCCTCAGATAAGCTGAGCATATATTGGATATGCTGGTATGTTATGGTAGCTCATGTTCTACTGCAGGCTAGTTCAAGAGCATCAGGACAAAGCTTTTCAACAACTAGCTGGACAGATGAATCAGACATTGAGGATGGAAGCTGAACGTTTTGCTCGAGGAGCTGCAGAGGTAGAAGACGAATACCAAATGAAAACCAAAGAGAGAGAAGCAAAAAATAAGGCTGCCATTGAATCTATTGCTGAACACAGAGCCACCGTGGTAAAAAAATAATAAATCATTCTTATCCCTCTTTCTCTCCTATCCTTCCAAATACCTTTTAGATACATTGTGGGTTTTAGCATAGCAATTGTTAGTGGGATGCTTGTGCATGTTCTCACTTAGCAGCTGCCTCTTACTTGCAACTTGCTTAAGGAGTTGGGTGTAAGTGGCACGTGGGAAGATCCTCTTGCAAGAGATCAGCATGCTGCATCAGGTCTGCTGACATCTTCCTGGGGTCCTCTCTCCCTCTCCCACCTCATGCTGGGCACACATCTGTTGGTGCTGCTGGAAACTCGGGGCTTGGACACTGGCCAGCTACGATGATTGTGCTTACCAGCGAGTGCTGATACAGGGCTGCATCATCATTGCTTTTGTATCTGGCCTGCAGAATGGCTGGTGGCGATACATGACTCTTCAAACTGGCAGGGTAGCTACTTGGCTAACCTCTCTTGTGTAAAATTCAGGTGAAGATGAAACTGGAGAAGGAGATAGAAGATAAAGCAGAAAATGAAAAAGAATGCCATGCATTCATGGAAAAGAACCGCATCTACTTGGAAGGGGAAGAAGCCAAGAAACAGAGACAACGTGATGCAAGTGTGGAAGTACAGAAGATTCAGCTCCAGCAGATGGTAAATAGAAGTGCTGCACCCTGTCAGCCCCTTCAGAAAGTAGCATGCATCTAAAGCAACAGTATGAGAGGCTGAGGGGCTAGGAGAGGAAGCATGCTGTGGTTTTTGTTAATCTTGTATGCTCTGCAGATGTTGGCATTGGGACCAGCCACATCTCAGCAGTGGCACAGAAGTCTCTTCTGGGCTTTCTCAACCCTTGTTGGTCAGGGAGGATGACCTGGAAGGGCAGGCGATAAGAGATCAGCCCTTAGCAGCTATGGCTTCAGGAGACCCCACTCAGGAATGCAGATCCCCCTTCTGCATTTGAATTTCCCCTGAGCTTGTGACCCCATTTTTCAAGTCCATGTGGCGTCACTGTCCCAGTGTGGGAGCTGGTCATACAAAGCCTTTCTTCTCAAGGGGTGTTGTATAAGGTAATGCTGTTTTTGTGGAAACTTGTTTGCATTTTTCCATGTCTTCTAGTGCTGAAAGTGATATGAATTCACAATACATGTTACAAAAGGTGTTTTAAAAAGCAAAGTAAAACAAAAAGCTTTGTTATTCTGTCTTCTTTCTCAGGCAGAAAAGAAGGCAAAAAAAGAGCAGGAAAAACAAGCGGATTTGGATTATGATGCTCAGAGAGAGGCTGCTTTTTGTAAAGAGCAAAAATTTTGGAGATAAAGACAGTAAGTAACTGAATGCCATGAACACACACAACTTTTATTATCCTGTCCAAATGTCCAAAGAGGGAAAACAATGTGGATGTGGGCTTTCTAAGCAGATTTTAGTTCTCCTTTTTTCTCTCTAAGATAGCACAGGATACTGTCAGGACTCAGCTGAACTACTGCTTCAGAAAATTCTGAAAGAACATGGAAGCTATGCAGTAGGGATGTTGTGAAATATCAGCTAGTGACCTACAAATTTAGTTTCAGTTAAATAGACACCTGTAGAAGTGGAGAAGTAAATCTACATAAAATATACATTAAAATAAAAAGTGTATGAGGGGAAGGTTGGTTGGTATAACACTATCCCCACTCCTCCTTACAAACGTATATGAGCTCTCATCTCACTCACGCTGAGTGAATGCTTGGAACTGTGTGGGAGTGCTGCAGCTTGCACGGCCCTCAAAGCCCTGCCTGAGAACAGGGCCAAGACTTCCTCAAAGCTGGCACAGACCCAAGGGCTGTCTCAAGTGCTCAGACCTGGTGTGGTGTGGGCTGCTGAGCCGTTTTTGGACAGCAGTGCCTGGCTAGGTGCAGCTGATGCTCTGTACCCACTTCAATTAGCGTGGCCCAAACAGGCCCTGTTTGTGGACCGAGGACCCTGCTACTGAGAACTTGACGCGCATGCATGTCTGGGGCAGCTTGCCCAGAATAGTGCTCAGCTGGTGTTGCGGCTCAGTACCCATCCTGGTAGGAGCACATCTTGAAGTTTTATCCAAAAGGATCTAGTTTGTGATCACTCCAGAATGTGAACAAAAGCACAGTAAGTAGGAACAATCAAGACCTATCTCAAACTCTCTTCTGATCTGAACAAATGCTAGCACAGCTGCACTATTAGCTAAAAGTCATGCAGGGTTCTTTCCAATTATATTTGAGTAATTGACTTGAGTGGAAATTATTTTTTAAGAGGGCATGGCAATTAGTTTCTGAAATAGTCTCTAAATTCTTTTTTTTCACTAATGAAAAATTTATTTCCCTTCTTTCTGAGCCAGTGCTCTTTTATTACTTCAAACTCTTTCCAGCAAGCAAACAATGCAAACTTTTATTAAAGCTTTTGGATGGCAAAGCTGAAGCCTTAAGAAGAATCATTGACTACAGTAAGAGTTATGCTGGAAGTCTGCAGAGCTTGATAATGCTCCAAATGCATCGCTAAGTGAACATTTGCATGTGCTGACCACTGTGTAATTGGTGAGTTAAATGGGTCTTAGTCTACTTCCACAGCAGCAAGAAGCAAGGTGGATTGCAGCCTCACTTCCTGCTCAGCTTTTTAAAGAAAAAAGCCCTGTTCTGTAGATTGCATTCTAAATCTACAGCCTGCTTCCACGGGCCTTATACCCCTTTCACTTTGAGCATCTACAGAAATACCAAACTCAGCCACCAGGAAACAATTCTTCCTTTCACTATACATAAAGTGAAGTAGGAATCCTGTGTATTTTCTAAATGCACTAAGTGTTGATTCATTTGACCACGTTCAGCACGAAAAAAAAGGGCATGAATTGATCACATACTACTGACTTCCAAAGATACATATGCTTTGTGTGCTTGCTTTAAATGACTAACTCTAGTTGGTGATCCCTGTAAAACTGCAAAGAAGTGTTTTTAGATCATGGACTTAACTTGAGGTTCTAGAATTTTTAGTGACAAAACATTTTGGTAACATTTCATTGTTCTTCACAGTTTTCCTTCCTGAAAAGCAAGAATGGAAAGCCTCTTGCAAGAGTAATACAGAAGACTTAAGTCAGTTTTATGTTTGATGTGTTGAAGAACACAAAGGAAGAAAAAAGGACTGGGAAGAAACTGAGAGAACAGCTCCTTGTGCAAGTAGAAACATGAAAGCTATTGAACAGCCTGAGATAAGAAATAAATGAAACTAAGAAAGCTGGGCTTGTTCAGTCTGCCAAGGAGGCAGCTAAGGATCTAGAACAGCCTGCAGCTGGTTGAAGGGTAGTACAAATACAGCAGAGCCAAACTCATCTCAGTAGCATCAGGTGATTGATATAGCACAGTAATGTGGGAGATCAGATAATGTCATGAAAATTCCCCTTTGGCCAGGAACATGGTCACTGGCCAAAAAGGTGGTAGTCCTCACCTGGGAAGGCTCTGAAGATGTAGCATGTAAGGCAGGAGGCTGACCACCAGGGGTACTTTTCAGCCACTATTTGAAGATGGTAACAAAATGCAGGAAGATAAAATACAGCTGGTAAGAGAGAATCTGCAAAGCAGGACGTACTCTACTACCTAGTGTCATTACTGGTAGGGGCTATTAGCTGAAGTTTTAACTAACAGCTATCAAATCAGAATATGCTCTGAGAAGTGACTATTAAACTTGAATTGGGTTAACATCTTACCCTCTCTGGTGGGGTGCTGGCTTGCTTCGGGTTATAGCATGTGTAATTTCATAGGTAGTGGTCTTATAAGAAGGCTAGGATCTTAGAAATGCAAGTCTCCTTGGGGGACTGAACCAGATACCTTAAATCCCACTGCCTTTTTTCCAAACCTGTCACTCAACTCTGTGGAAATAAACTGGCAACTTATGTGTGAAGACATGAGCTTCCAGGGTCAAGCATGATGTTCTCAACAGTACTACAACTCTGATCACTGCATAGCTATTAGCAGTATTGACTCTCCAGATTTAATGCAATTCTGACATAGGAAATGGAAGAGAAGTTTTCAAAAATGTCTCGTCCTAGGTTGGTGTGACTTTGCTCACAGTGCAGTTCTTCACTGTCAGGTACCATTCCGTAGGGTAGAGTTACTAGTTCCATTCAAGTTCTTGAATGTTACAGTCTGCTACTGCTCAGCTCAGAGGAAGATTGAAGAGGACACAACTGGAAATATTCTACTGCTGAAGAGTAGAGTTGACAGCATGGGGTGATTAATGACTGACATTTTCAGGTGCCAACAGAGACTGACTGTTACTCCTGAAACCATTTTCTAAATCTCTGTTGGTTTTAGGCCAAAGAACTCATTCTGTTTTATTTTTTTTTTTCCCAGAGTCCTGTTACTGACTCACATGTTTGATATCTCTTGAAATAGAAGAAAGATATAAATAATATGCAATTTTCTTCCTTGTTCTTGGCAATGCAGCCTTGTCTCTGATGAATTCTCCTTGTTCTGGCAGTGCCATCTATCTAGTCGTTCCCTTGGCATTCTTGCAGCACCGTCAGTACAATCTAAGCTTTTAAGTTTAGTCTATTGTGGCCTTCACAATTAAGAATGAGAGCCCACAAAGGAAATATGTGCTAGACACCTAAGGAGAAATGTGATTCAAACCCACCATTTAATCTGTTAAACCAATCTTTAAAAAGATCAAAAACAGCCTTAAAGCGTAGTTGTTCATAGCTGCTTGATACTATCTTGTATAAGCCAGAATGGTAGTGTTGTTTTTGTCTCAGTTTCTTATCTCCAATACATTATCCAGAGAAACGTACAATTCCTTTATATACTGAAGGCCTCATGCATCATAACTGCAGGCCCAATGAAATTAAATACTAGATAAGTTAGTAATTTTTCCCCTTCCAAATGAGTAGCACTTGATTTGGCCTGTTTTGGTCATATTTTTTTTTCCTTTTAAAAGAGGTAAAGCCTCGCCCATGGCAACATTTACTGGAAGTAAGCAATAGTTACTGTGCTGACCAGAGCCAGGATCAGGCTACCAAGATCTAAAAACTACACATCCTGCAACTGATACAGTGAAAGGGGGAAAATGAAGCCATTACTGCTTTAGGATGATTATTGTTTCAATTACAGCCCCTCACTTAATTTTTCATTGAATAAGGATTACTAATGACAAAGGAGGACTTAACTCTGTTTCTTTCTTCTTCAGAAATCCATCGGACAAGTACAGAAGCATCCACTACAGAATAAGAAGCTAGCCACGATCTTCTAAAAACCCACGTGCCTGTAGAAAATCTATCGGTGCCTAATAGCTGAAACTAACTCTGGAATATGGTGGAAGGCATGCAGTTGGCCAGGATCTGCCCATATCCAGCTCAAGTACCATAGCTACAGCTATACAGCAAATACAGTATTCTTTTATGAAGCAAAGCAGTAGATTCACTTTCTAGGAAGTTAAGAGGTAACAACCTACACATGTATCTGAACACTTGTGATGTTGGATGTGCTGTACTCCTTGAGTGTTACTAAACCTCAAAGCTTAATTAAAACTTTACATTTTGGCTTTAAAAAATCAGCAAATAATAAAATTAAGTAAATTGTTTAAAATAGTAGCAGTAATACCAATGCTGGGTGTGTTTCTTCTTAACAGTTTTCTACTTAATTTTACTGTGGAGAATGCAATGGAAAACAGGAAGCCTACATTACCAGTGGCTGAATCTCTACTCCTTTCTAGGAAGGAGGTGCCTGCAGCAAGGCCGTTGTCTGTCTAGCACTCAAGTTTCTTAATTGACTGTAGGAAATGCAAGAAAGGTACAGTATGCTTTTCTGCAGTTTCCTAAACAGTGCTGCTGGCACAGCCAGGTTACTAGGAGGGGATACTGGTCTAGGGGCCCTTGTGATCAAAGCTCATCCCTGTGCTTGGTTTTAAGATGTCTGTCAGCTGTCCTATTGCTGTATTTAATTTCATAACATCAGACAGATACATCTCCTGTAAGTGGTGAGAACTATTCTGCCTCACAGACCCATTCCCAAAAGAATGTATTGAAATACAAGATCAGAAGTGTGAAAGTAGGAAAAACATGATAGTAAGACAGTAGATCAGTTTCATTACACAGCTGCATTCATGTTAGAGTGTGAATAGCCTGTCATTTGTCAGTCTGTAGTGGAATTGCAGTTTTCTATAACTCATCCAGTTTAGCATGGAACAAAAACCTGAGTATTCACATCTTCAGTAAGACTGTATAAATCTTGGCTCAACTGGAGAGTGTTCTGATGCTAAATCACAACAGCCTGTGAAGTGTAAAAATACTAAAACCACTTTAAAATGCTCAAGCACATTTAAATGCACCAGTTAAACCACATGAAGTAGAAATGAACAATACTCTTAGTTACATACATGTACAGAAGCTAAGTAATACTGTAAGAGGCACACTTTGCAGATATAGTGACTATATTAACATATGCAAAAATATATTACTGGAAAGTAATGAAATGCACAATTTGTGGATTAAATTGTAAGGGTTAATTCTCCCAGTTGAGAACTACAGGTTACAAAATGTTCAAGGGACAGATTTCCATATACTTCATGAAGTACTATGTGCACATCACTACTTAAATAATTGACCACAATTCTTTTAGCTGGTGAAGGAAATCAGTTACTACCGAGTTGATCTTACAAGAGATTATAAACAGGCCTCAATTCCTTCAAATCCTTCCACCCATCCTTTTAATTACCAGTTCTTGATTAGTGACACAGTATGTTTTTATATACAGTTACAGGCATATATACAAGACAGGCAGAAATGACTAACTGCCAAAAATAGGAAGTTTACTTAAGGGCTTTACTTGTTGCAAAGTTTCTAATCAAAGTCAGGGTGCTGTATTAGTTCAGTTTAGCCTATTTGATTATTTTGTTAGAGCTTTTATGAATACAAAAATGTTTAAAATCAATCAGGTATAGATGTGTGTTTAAGCTACCTAACATCTGTCCTCTGAACTTGTTCACGTTAACTGCCTTACTCATTTCACATGAACAATTACTTTGATTATGAAAGGATATACCTTTACCTTAGCATAGTTTTACTATCCAAACTCTCCATTTGATTACTGAAATTAAACTTACTTTGATAGCATAGCTTTTTTAAGTGGATATTACTTTATGCTTCTATTATGGATTACAAGTTTTGTTACAGCAATGTTCCTAATGTGAGTAATTCAAAGGTAATAAGTACTACACTAAAAGTACACATGCAACAAAATGGAAAGCTTAAGTTTTATGCTAGGAAACTGCAGAATTATACCAAATTCAAATTTTGCAAAGTGCCGAGTTCACAGGGATTGTGATAACGCACTTTCTTGAATAATTTGGTTAAATGCTGCGTAAGGAAAGTTACTATTTCCAGCAAAAGGAGGAAAGCAGCAGATAAGAGTTCTTAACATTTGCATCACATCAGCTCTAGAAAAATGAAGATTAACTGTGTCACTCCAAGTGGGTTGACCAAAAATTAACTTATGGGTACCACTGAAAAATACTTGAGCCTTTTCTCATAAAGTTATTCAGGTATAAAAGGGAAAAAATGATTTAAAATAAGGGTTTTTGATAAAGCATAATAATTACCTTCAGGCTTCCTATTTTAAGTCCCAAAAGCAGGGCTACACGTTTTTGCCAGTCAGTGAAGCGATGAGTCTACTATGCCCAAAAATACTTTATTTGCTTCAGTAAAGCAACAAAGAAATCAACAATTCCAGGAAAGAAAGATGAAGGACTGCTTCTTTTATGTTTACATTAATCTAAAATTCATTTGCCAGGCTAACACTATTACAAATCAGACATTGTTCAGTGGAACACAGCAAATTCTTCCAGGCATCTGACAAAGATCACTGCAAGAGAAGTCTACAGTGTGGGATTTCAGTAGCAAGTGAAAAGTTTCAGGATAAAGTTTTATCAACGAAATAGAACAGAGGTAAAATTTAACTGTTAGCCTTTGAAAAATCAAAAGAAAAAAAAACATGAACTGAAGTCCAATGTGCCACCCAAAGAATTATCAGACAGCAGTACATCTTTAACAGCCAGTAGTGTCTACACAACCTTGTTATCACCAACCACCAAGAATTTGTGCTTCAGAGCTGATGGCAGTAGCCAGAAAATCCATCAAATACGGTCTGTTTCTGGTTAAGTTTGCAAGGCTCTTACCAATACAATATTCTTCAGCATTTTACATACATATAGGCTGTAACGTATTAGTAAAGTGTCAGTTTCTGTTGCCAGTATGACAGAGAATACGTGTCTAACCCTTGGAGATTATTTCATGTCAGTACATTCACTTTAACCATATACTTGCAAAGTTCACAGTGCATTAAAACGCATTATGCATTAAAAGGTCGGTTTTGGGGTGCTGACAGAAAAAACTGCCTTCCAGATACAATGCCACCACCACCCACAAGAGATGATAACCACAAGCATTGTTTTCATCACCTCCAGTAAATGTAAGTATTGCTTTGAAATACGCTCCCCGTTCTGTTCTCCAAGCCAAAGGCCAATAACCTGTGACACTGCAGCCAAAGATGGCACTGAGCTCCACGCTGACCAAACACAGTTAGCCTGAGGCTGAGAACAGGATAACTCTGCCACTGAAGGAAGAAGTGGTTCCGGCAAAGAAAGAACCACATGCTCACAAGGTGGAAAGAGCTCAGCGGTGCTTGGGGACATCTTTCAGTCCAAAGGACCGTGTTTCAGTCCCACTGAATTTGTACCAGCATACTCATTTTCTGGATAAAGAAAAGCACAAATCTGGCACATCCTCCCTCTTACAAGACCACAACTGTTGTATTTCAATTTTAGCAAATGGAAGCGATCAGCACTAAAACAACTCGCCAAATACAATACAGACAAAGCATGCATACATCAGGAGTTTAACTGTATCCCACCATGTGCAATTAAAAGTGCCCAACTTCTTACACGCTGCATTAAAAATAAAACGAGCTTTGCACGACTTACTCAGATGAATTTTAACCTGCTATGAAAGAATTAGAGCTCACTTGATCTGTACAAGTAGTTTACTGAACTATAATGAGGAAACTAATCCATATTGAAGATATACAAGTGCATTTTTTGAAACAACTAGTTACAGACAGCTGCAAACTACAACTGAATAGTCTCCATTTCAAAATTTTAATTCAGTACATTCAAGACTTTGTAAACCATTACAGTTTTGTAAATTATCTCATATGGATTTCCTTATTGCTGACTGGTTTTATTTTTACCCTTTTCTACAGCAGGAGTTGATATAGTTAGTTGAGGGTTGTTGTTTACAGACTTATATGGCCTTCAGTGGTATTGGCAAGAATATTCTCAGTAGTGCAAACATACCTCTCAAGTAATATAAAGTTGGCTTTTTGTGTGTAGCAGCTCCACAAAAAAAGATGAAATTCTACTGCAGTTTTTAAATGAGACTCTGAAGCACACTGCATGCATAGTGCAGTGTAAATGCACTGAGGAAGCCTTTGACCTGCCATACAATTCTCTTACACCTAACTTTTTAACACAGCCCTCAAGATTGCGCTAGAGCTTCCGAGTCCAGAGTTGCTACACACAGAACAGGTCCACTACAAGTCTTCCATTCAGTCATGTAAGCCCTTTTAAGTAACAGCCATGTCATCTACCCAAGAAATGCTTGTGAAATATTTTTGCATGTTCTGCACAGAATTGCAACTGCAATACAGAATACATACAAAAACAGAAAAAAAAGTTTATAGCCCGTATTTGATAATGTTACTTTTCAGTAGAAGAGCTTGTGGCACTAACTTCTAGTTTTTTCGTTCTGTTAAAGGGTTCCTCAACGTTATTCACAGTTCTATATTCCCTTTTGCTTTCAATACATAAATATCTGTTATTTTCCTTCAGAACAACTGTTGGATCACAATACCAAGCCAAGTTCAGCAATTCTGCTAATCTGCTGTGGACACACAAAAATCATAAAGTGGGTTATAATATTACAAAAATAACGGCAAAGATGGTAAAAACAAGTTATAACCAAACAATCAAAAATACTGCTGTAAAATCAACTGAAACATTGTTGTACTTGGACACAGTTTACATTAATGCCCATCACTTTAGAAATTAACATTTGCCAGCCTTCAATGCAAGTAGTTCCAAGGGCTTAAAGAAGCGTTGGGGTTTGTACCAAATCTGCCCTTTCAGCCCACTATAGTTATACCAGCTGCTCTTGGGTATCACACATGTGGGCAGTACTGTAGCAACACAAACCAACTTCCTTCTCTTGTATATGAAGGTATGATGGCAAGAAAAAAAAAAAAACAAAACAGAGTAAGGTCCTATAGGCAGAACAGGAAAGCAGAAAAGGGAGGGAATTAGTTTGAGGAAGGCACACATGTAGAAGACGTGGAGGAATTCACAATACAGTCTTTATAATGTGGGGATTTAAGGAAGAAAGCAAATCTTGGTTTAAAAAATTTAAGGGACTGTCTTAACTGCAATTGTTTCCCCATTAACTGTTAAGCAACAAAAATAGGAATGATTTGCTGGTTCCTTGTTCTGATCAGTGACTACCACTTCCAAGAGGTGAAGACACACCTTATGAATTCTCGTCACTGTTTCATC